GAGTGTGTTTGAGTTTATTTGAGTTTGTACTGTCACCCAGGCAACCGCCGTTTGCATGGAGTGATATATATTTACCATTGCTTCTTTAATAAAACACAATGTACCCTTTCCCTGTGGTTTGTGCATTTGATTGGAATGGAGCACAATGGAGGCCACAATTCTGTTTTATTAAAATGCTTGCTGTTGATGTGAGACTTGGGGAAATATATATGCAAGACAGATGGCCTTTGCTTCCACAGATGCCCTCACCAATTCCCATATTTAAGAATGGGAATGATTCCCCACTTAAGCCAAGTATTATTTACCAAAGCATTTTGCCTTCTCTTTGCTTACTGGGATATTGTAGATGCAGCAGTGTAGCATCAGTCACCAAGACCAGGGGCAAGGCGCAAAAGGGGCAGGGCATCGCAGCTCACCTGTAGCACACCCACAGGAAGCTCCCAGTTTGGTGTCATCTGAAAACTTGATGAGCATCTTCTCAATGCCTTCATCCAAGTCATTTATAAATACATTGAATAACAACGGGCCCAGGACAGAACCCCACTTGTCACTTTTTTCCAGGATGACAAGGAACCCTTAATGAGTACTCTTTTGGTTCACTCAGCTACAAATCCACTTAACAGCTATCTCTTTCAACCCACAATAGGGACGCGGGTGGTGCTGTGGGTTAAACCACAGAGCCTAGGACTTGCCGATCAGAAGGTCGGCGGTTCGAATCCCCGCGACGGGGTGAGCTCCCGTTGCTCAGTCCCTGCTCCTGCCAACCAAGCAGTTCGAAAGCATGTCAAAGTGCAAGTAGATAAATAGGTACCACTCCGGCGGGAAGGTAAACGGCGTTTCCATGCGCTGCTCTGGTCCTCCAGAAGCAGCTTAGTCATGCTGGCCACATGACCCGGAAGCTGTACACCGGCTCCCATGGCCAATAAAGCGAGATGAGCGCCGCAACCCCAGAGTCGGTCACGACTGGACCTAATGGTCAGGGGTCCCTTTACCTTTTACCTTTCAACCCACATTTTGCCAGCTTCATTACTAGCTTTCTCACAAGAATACCATGGCAGACTTTGTCAAAAGACTTACTGAACTCAAGATACACTATGTCCATAGCATTCCCCTGATCCACCAAGCTTGTAACTCCATCAAGAAAGAAAGGAAGAAAGAAAGGAAGGAAGGAAGGAAGGAAGGAAGGAAGGAAGGAGGAAAGGAAGGAAGAAAGAAAGAAAGAAAGAAAGAGGATTCATTTGGCATGGCTTGTTTCTGAGAAACCCATGCTGGGTCTTTGTAATCACAGCATCCTTTTCTAACATCTATATTTGACTGACTGTTGAAGTATCTCTTCCAGAATCTTTCCTAGTATCAATGTAAAGCTCACCCGTCAGTGATAACTACCTGAAACTCTCCTCCTCTCTTATACAACTGTTACACATTTATATAGTCAAAGAAGTTCAAAATATAATTGTGCTGGCTGCTATGATGCTACTGTCCTGGCAAAGTAGGTCAATTGTCCTATTTTACAGATTGGGAACACAGGATGAAATAAGATTACCTTGTCTGGGACTACCGAATGAGTCTGTGACAATTAACAACAACCCACCCCACAAAGCCGGGAGCTGGATCCATTTCCTGGGACTGGTTCAGACTTTCTTTCCACTGAGCCATAGTGCTGGCTCTCTCTGGGCTCCTGCACCTGGACCAGTATTAGCGGCTGGGTGGGTGAGGAAGATGCAGCACTCGGGATTATTACATATCTGCCCATTTAAAGCTCTCCATCACAGGGGAGATGGACTACATGTCTAGAGAAGAAAGGTCAACAGGGGCTTTCCTGCTCAGTCATGGAGCGTATGATACACTTTAAACCATTATGTCAGGGGCTTTCAACCAGTGTGCCGTGTCACCCTGGGGTGCCTTGAATGATGGTCAGGGGTGCCACGGGCAACACTAGCCTCTGTTCTTCTGGCCTTCCCTCCCTCCTCTAATTGTCAGGAGCTCGTCCTACACTCGAGTAGGACCCTGGTAGAGACACATGCCCAACTGGCATGTTCCCTCCCTCCTGGTCGATCGTTCAGGAGCTTCTAAAGCTTTCTTCTGCCCGAACATCACAGCGACTGATGCCAACAGACATCGGCGCACTTATGGATCTGCAGAGTCTGCGCAGTTCGCATAACAGACCTCAGCAACTCAGCATTTGGGCTAATCTACTTTATTTGCATATAAACACACACGGAGCACTGCAACATGGCTCCCTCTCTCTCTAGCATCAGACAGCAAAGAGAAAGAACAAAGGACAATAGTCTCACTTCATGGAACACAGTAACACAAACATCCTGTCTCCGTCACTTCCCACTTTGTGGAGTCAAAACATACACAGTTATGTGATAGACAAAAATCCCATGACTGCAAGCATGGAGCAGGAATTCTAACACCAATGCCCTCTTGCATCTCTGCCTCCCAAAGGGTCGTGCAACTGTTTGTTGCAGCAGCCCTGGCTACAAGCTCCCCAGACAAATGGTGCCTCAGGGGCTGGCCAGGGGGTGCTGGTTGCCAGGAGCTGAGGTGGCCTCAGAGTAAGCAAGCAAGTGGGTGAGGGAGCCCTGCCAGCCAGTCCACCAGCCCTTGCTGTTGGGAATGGACAGACAAGTGGGAGGTAGGGCAGGCAGGCAGGCAGGCAGGCAGGCACCATACTGGCCTTTCTTGGGCTTGCTCTGTGCAATGCCTGCCCGGCAGCTGAGTGTCCAGTGCCAAAGGGGAGCCTTTCTGCCATGCAGACCCAGTGACAGGCCACTAAGGTTGGGGGCTTCCTCTTGCCAAGCTCCCAGCCGTGGAATAAGAAGGCACCTCTCTTTGAGGTGGGGGAGCAGGGCGGATAAGAGACCAGGGGCAGTGGTGGCTGCTTCCTGGAGGACTCCCAAGGAGAGGGGAGAGGAGGCTGAGGGAACATAGCGCAAGGGAAGGTGTTGGAAAAGGGGTGAGGGCCTGCTGGCTCTGCAGGCAAGGGGTGACATAACTGGGCTTCTGACGCTTGGAGCACATTTCCCCACAGGGGAGCCACTGAAAGAATGTAGTTGATTAAGGGAGCCATGGACTCAAAAAGGTTGATAAGTTCTGCACTATGTTATAAACTAGAAAAATATTAACAGGGTGGGAAATAATCTAAATCTTTTCTTATCCACCACTGCCCCTCACTCACATACACACAGAGAGAGAGAGTTTTGGAAACACAACGCCAGCATCTCATGGCTCAAAGAAGTGGGATGTGGAATTTAATTTCTGGAAAAAGTAAGTTTTCCTTATAGAATCTTTCCAAAGGGAAAACATATGCAATTTTAATCTATGTAATGGCAGGCAATGGTTGGATGTAGAACAGCAGACCCACTTCAATATTATTATTATTTTAAGCCTTGCACATTGCATTTGCCAGCACCATCAGCTATTACTCAGTAACATTTTAAAAGCACTATCTTAACATTCAGTCAATATTTGCCGAGCATATACTGCTGAATTAAGGAGATCAAAAGTTGATTAAGGCAGGATATAAACATTAATTTCCAGGCTTTCCACAGTAAGCAGCAATGATGACTAATTTCACCTATCTGAAAGTGTGATAAGAGTTTCAGCAAGTGCATTTTCTCACACAGCCTCCTATAAAGCCCTCTTGTGTAAGGCACTAGGGTTCTTCTTTCGTGTGGGAGGGGGCAGAGATATGATACAGGCACATTATGGCCCAGCCATTGCTGATGAATGAACCTGAAAATTTGCAATGGCAGTGCTGTTGAGCTGAAATGCTGTTAAAGACAACATCAGTTCACTTTGCGAAAACACTGGTGCTCCTGGGGTGAACATGTGCCTAATCTGGTTTTTTGTTTAAAAAAGCTAACAACAGGTGTGGTGAGACTGGACTGAAGGGCAGGGGCTGCTGTGGCGCTGAGGCACAAAGAGCCAGCACTTTCTTTTGCCATTCTAAATTGCCTCTTGAAGTTGCTACTTGTCCGTTGGGGCAAATAGCAACTTCACTTCACAAAGTGGTACAGGCAGGAAGACTGTTATTCCTGCATGGACTAGATGACCCCCGGGTTCCCTTCCAACTCTACAATTCTGTGGTTCTGTGACTAACACACACATACCGTTCCCAGCACCATGGCGCTGATCAGACTCATCTCATGAGTACTTCATTTTAAAACAGGTAAGCACCAACAGGAACTCCAATCACAGATCTCCTCTATTTGTGACCTTGAGTCATCACACTTGATACAGTAGAATGGCTATGATGAGCCCTGATTTGGGGATGGTAAACCTGGGACACTCTCAATGCTTTAAAATCTGAAAGAACTCAAAGGAGTTGGAAACAATCGCAAAACAAACAAACAACCACCCCCCACCCAAATCCATCATCTACTGGAGAAACTTCTCCTGAAATTCCAGTTGCAAATAATCCTGGTGGCCACAGTCTTACAGTAGGACTAGAATTTCTCTAAAGCAGGAGGGTAGGATGCTTGCTAGGCTACTACCTTTGGGCTTCATCATAAAGGGAAAGGGGCTGTAGCTCAGTAGTAAAAAAGAAAAGAAAAGGTAAATGACCCCTGGACAGGTAAATCCACTCAAAGGGTGAGGTAGTCATATTGCTTCAGGCCGAGGGAGCTGACATTTGTCCATGGACAGCTTTCCAGGTCATGTGGCCAGCATGACTAAACCGCTTCTGCTGCAACAGAACACCGTGACGGAAGCCAGAGCACACAGAAACATCATTTACATTTCCACTGCAGCAGTACCTATTTATCTACTTGCACTGGTGTGCTTTCGAACTACTAGGTTGGCAGAAGCCGGGACAGAGCAATGAGAGCTCACCCCGTTGTGCGGATTCAAACCGCTGACCTTCCAATCAGCAAGCCCAAGAGGCTCAGTGGTTTAGACTACAGCGCAACCCACTCCCCTGCTCAGTAGTAGAGTATCTGCACTGTACACAGAAAGTTGCATGTTCAGTCCCCAGCATCCCCAGGCTGGGGAAGATCCCTGCCAAAATGGCTCAGTGTGTCTGGCTGTTAACCAGAACGTTGGTGGTTCAAACCCACCAAGGGATGGTTGTGGGCAGGATTCTTGCCTTGCAGGGTATTGGACTAGAGATGACTCTCAGGGCCCTTCCAACTCTACAGTTCTGTGGCTCATGTAGTGCTATTTTTTCTAGAAAAAAAGAGGTGCCAGAACTCACCATGAACACCTCCCTTGTTCTCTTATAAAGGCAATGGCACCCACCAGAAATAATACCATCTGGGCAGCTTCCAGCAATAAACATTAAAATACAATAATTCATCAAATATTAAAAGCTTCCTTAAACAGAGCAGCCTTCAGATGTCTCCTGAAAGGGCGGGTGCTACTACCGAGAAGGCCCTCTGCCTTGTTCCCTGTAGCTTTGCTTCTCATAGTGAGGGAACCGCCAGAAGGCCCTCGGAGCTGGACCTCAGTGTTGGGGCAGAATGATGGGGGTGGAGATGCTCCTTCAGGTATAGTGGGCCGAGGCCGTTTAGGGCTTTAAAGGTCAGCACCAACACTTTGAATTGTGCTCGGAAACGTACTGGGAGCCAATGTAGGTCTTTCAAGACCGGTGTTACGTGGTCTCGGTGGCCGCCCCCAGTCACCAGTCTAGCTGCCGCATTCTGGATTAGTTGTAGTTTCCGGGTCACCTTCAAAGGTAGCCCCACATAGAGATCATTGCAGTAGTCCAAGCGGGAGATAACCAGAGCATGCATCACTCTGACAAGACAGTCCACAGGCAGGTAGGTCTCAGCCTGCATACCAGATGGAGCTGGAAGACAGCTGTCCTGGATACAGAATGGACCTGCGCCTCCATGAACAGTTGTGGGTCCAAAATGATTCCCAGGCTGTACACCTGGTCCTTCAGAGGCACAGTTACCCCATACAGGACCAGGGGGTCCTCCATACCCACCCTCCCCCTGTCCCCCCCAAACAGTACAGAGAAGTGCCAGAACTGAGTTCCGGCGAATTCCAGCTTTAAAAAAAGCCTTGGGCTCATATATATATGCAATTCACCCTTGCGAAGTCCTGCTAGATGAAGCAATGACTCCATATAAGGCAGTTTTCTATGCTCCTCCATGCCCCAGCACAGACACCTGATGTTAGATCAAGGAAAAAGCTTTGTTTACATAACTCAACACTTTGGCTCCATGCCTTTGATCATCTCATAAAATCTCCACTCATTTGTTTCGCCACCGCTTTCTAGCTTGCAACACCAAACACCACGGGGCTCAAATCCTGGCTGGAACCCACGTTCCATATAATTTTATGGTGATAAAAATGGCACCTGTCCAAAGAGTCAAGGTCAGATCCCCAACATCTGGAAAATCCGCTTGCTGCTACAGGCGACACAACTAAGTTTCCTATCTCTGTCATGGCGTTATGGTCTATTTGAGCACCTGGTTTGTTGCCATCAATTACTCTTTAAAGTTATATAAGACGAGGAGGCAGAAGTCATCATGACCACATTCCGTTACGACGGAGGAGAAAGTTTCCATGATTTTAGAGTTGGATAATATTTCAGAAAAGAAAAGAAAAGTTGGTGCACCGTAACTGGAACTAATCTTTTCATAACTGCTCCAAAGAGCAAGGGATCCAGTTTCCTTAAAGCGACGCTATCGCTTTCAGAGGGAAGGAGTGTGCAAATTCTATCCAGGCAACCGACACCTTTAAAGCATTTTCCAGAAAAAACCACTGTTGCAGATAAAATAATAAAGATAAGAATTAAAGATGCAGATTAAGTAATTGATTAAGACTTTTGTAGGGAAACACCCTCTCCCCAATGCATTTTCATTTATATCTCGGGGGATGGGAACATTTCCTTTTTAATAATAATTTTTATTGGTTTTACAATTTAGTTTTTCATTTACAAAAAAAAGAAAGAAAAACACAACCCAAAAATATAGAATTCTCCAAATTCTCCAACTTCCATTCTCCCTTTCTTGGGGTCCACTAATAATCATTTTCATATATTATCTTCCATATATCCATAAATCTCTATTTTCTCCTATAGTTCTTTTCACATTGCGAACGTTATTTCAAACCTGCTAATGTTTTTAACTGTTTACAATGTCCTGTTAAATATATTAAAATTCCCCCCCAGTCTTTGCTTAAGATTTTATTATCCTGATTTTTCCAGTCATTTTGGCCATCTCAGCATAGTCCATCAATTTTACTGTCCACTCTTCTCTTGCAGGTATTATGTCGCCCTTCCATCTTTGGGCTGAGAGCATCCTGGCCGCTGCCGCATACATGAATAGTCTTTTGTACTGCCTTGGTATCAGGGATGGGAACATTTTCAGCTTGAGGGCTACGTTCCTGTATAGGTAGCCTCAGTGCTTTCTTTCTGGGGGGATGTGGGGTACACATACCCCTAAATATTTTGTGAATACAAGTTTGGCCTCACTGAGGGGCAGTATTTCAATATGAGTAGGAAAATGAGAGTACCCCTAAACATTTTTTTTAGAAAAAAAGCACTGCGTAGCCTTCCAGGGCCTGTATACCGAGGTGGGTGGGGCCATAGATATGGCTGTTTGTATGGTACCTTGGTACAGTTAAATTCCAGCCATGCAAATGTCAGAGGTTCCTGCACTTCCACACCCCTCTCCATCTTCCATTTGGACAAACAGGAAGGGCTAGTGAGCGGGGTGGCTTGGGGACAGGATGCGACCTTGGAAGAATCCCAAGGGAGGCCTAGTGCACCACACTCAATCCCTGGTCTTGAGGTTTCCCACCCTCGAAGCATATGTGCAACCTTGTGTTATGTGTGGAGAGTCTGCCTTTCCCTTCGGTAACTTCACAAATAAGAATTAATGAGCAGTTTATATTTTGTAGACCTTTTTATTCAGGCATTAGGTTGCAAGCAAAAATCCACATCCCTCCCCAAGGAGAACAGTTGGCTACTCTAATTCTTCCCCTTCCATCTTCCGCAACATCCTAGGCGCCAACAGGAAGTCCCTCCTCCTCTCTGCATCCTTTGTTCTCTAATACTTTCAGATCTCCTAGTTTGTGGGGAGGGAGGATCCCTCACACTTTCTAATGACGTCTCTGCTATCTGTCCCTTCCCTTCTGTTTCTCTTGTCATTATCTCATAGCTAGGCAACTCCTGCCTAATCTGCTCTGTGTCTGTGTCTTTCTCTGCTTCTGAGATTGCTGGAAACAAGGGGGTGAATCTTCCCCTTCCAGCTCCTCTTCTGAGAGAAGCTGATCTGCCTGAGAATGTATTCCCCAGTCCTCTGCTTCAGACCATTCTCTGACGCCTTGTTTCACCTCTCCCCATGTCTTCACTTTCAGGGTTCTCAAACTCATTCCTTAACTTAGTCACAGATTAGTTCCTCTGTAACACTCATTAACAGCCTGACCAGATGAGAATATAACTTTTCTAACACGCTCTAGGAATATACTGCAGACTCTATCACCTTTCTTTTTTATATACAACCATGGTTAGCTTTCTATGCATGCAAATGTTAAAACTAGCCACGGCTGTAAACTCAAGTTTCCATAGCAGCGATGAGTTCCAAATGGTTGGAGGCAGGGGGAAATTCCCGTGTGTGGAAAGGAGGAAAAAGAGGGAGGAGGAGGGAATGCAAGATCCCCTGGCACATTCCCAATCTTTTCATCATGGTCATAAGATCAAGTTTCCAGGATTTATGGCACACGGAATTGATGGAATATGCAGAAATGGTAAGTCTAACCAGTAGAATAAGAGATCAGGAAGAAAGAGTATTTAAAGAAGAGTGGGAAATATTTGCAGAGTATATGAAGAATCATTGTAAACAAATTAAAACGCCAGCAGGATTAGAGTAAATTCAGCAGTATATAATTAAATTGGGAAATAAAGGGAGAGAGAAAAATGGAGTAATTATAATATGCAGCAGTAAAGGAGAACTAGAATGAACCATGGAAAGGGGGTGGGGAGGGAAGCCAATGAATCATTTATTTATTTTTTGAAGAATGCAAACGTGGAAAATTGTAAAAGTGAAAACAATAAATGTGTGTGTGTGTGTGTGTGTGTGTGTGTGTGTGTGTATATATATATATATATATATGGACATTTATAGGATTCAAATAGTAGCTTAAGCATATCTGAGATTTCCAGGAAGGATGAAAAAGATGCTGTTGTTCTAGATGGTGATAAGAACATTAGAAAGGTTAAAAGAACCAAATGTGATTATCTTTCGCTGGGTTTCCATAGCAGCCCTTTTTCACGTGCAAGATGGCAGTTTCATAGACTGATATGGAGTTCATCATAAGGAATAGGTGTGTTTACACAAGACTCTACACACACACTAGGGGAAGCAGAATGGAGAGGTTTTCCGTGGAACTGGACATTAATCCAAGCTGCTGGCAAGCTGCTGCATAAACAGTTCACGCTTTGCCATGTTTTATTTGTATTATAAAAGAATGTGCCTGGAATTTTCCTAGTGATGGACTTCGTCCAGAATAACTTCCCCCCCCCTTTTTTTGGAAGCAAGGCTGAGGGAGAGGACCAATTCGCTGGCCAAATTCATGCAGCTCTGCTCCCATGATCCTCTCCTGCACCCCAGACTCATGGCCTCAAGGAACAGTAGGTCGCTATTGCAACCCTCCATATGTGACACACAACCATCGTACTGAATATGCTGCAACTCAGCAAGGCTATTTCATCGTCTCTGTGGCGCTTCTCACGGTTGTCAGCATCCTCTTCCCACTTCTTCCCAGAGGCCTCCATCCGTGGCTTTCCTCAGCTTCTGCTTGGGTGTGCCAGATCCTGGAGGACAGGGTGGGGGTGGGAGTGGAGAGAAAGCTTGCTCTTAGCCCCATTTGTCGTGAGTTACTTTGAGCACAATGCTATAGAGAAGCAGCATACAACTAAAAAGAGAGTGGTGATTTAATTCTGAATACAGTGGTACCTCGGGTTACAGACGTTTCAGATTACAGACACTTCAGGTTACAGACTCCGCTAACTCAGAAATAGTACCTCGGGTTAAGAACTTTGCTTCAGGATGATAACAGAAATTGTGCATTTAGCTAAAGTGGTGCTTCAGGTTAAGAACAGTTTCAGATTGAG